CCCGATATTTTATTATCGATTAGAAACCTTATCGAAAGCTAGTTATTTAATTATATTTCCCACACTTTCGAGCTAGAGCTTCCAAAACTTAAATGTAGACTTGTGTGTTTTATATTATTTTTTTAAGTCCTGACAGTTTCATTAAGATTAACGTCTAGAAATTAAATTATTCAACAAATAAATTCATATAATATTGCCACACTGCAGCGCTGCCCAAGCGCAGTCACTGCTTACTGCGCTGTTAGCAGAGCGCGTTCTAATACGTGTATGTATGTGTGCCTAAAAGAAGTGCACAATGATTAGAATATCAGATTGGAGTGTTCAGCGTATCTCCTAGTCGAGCAGCCTCGACTAGAGTCTTTTTACTGGTTTTTGTATTGTATTGAGGTCGCAATCAATATATATCTTTATATATGTCATATACATATGTCTGCGTATTTATATTTATGTATGTGTATGTAAGCCAAGCGTAATTGCCAGCTGAAGGCGTTTGAGGTAAGGGCGAAGCCTGAATGTCCTCAATTAAAGTGATTCGATTAAGATTAAGTATTGTCATCTACATATTATATACATATATGTATGTACATATACAATACAGATAACTGTAAGTCAATCATCAATCGTCAATCCCAAATCGTCGAGCGCCCATGGCCTCTCTTAAATTGAGTAAACACGGGAAAACACGGTATTTAGCTTGAATTATTTGTTTTCGTTTTATTTAAAAAATACAATTTAGAAACGCCTTCTCAGTTTGTTGTTGTTGTTGTGTCATATAAAACAATCAAATAAACTATTAACAAAGCAACTTTTCATCTGCAGCCTAGGAACATCATCATCATCGTTGTCATTAACTCCATCTATGGTATTTAATCTCAATAAACTTGTAAACTTTATAAACTTACGCAAGTATCTGCCTCTGACAGCTTGAGGCAGTTCCCAGGAGAGCTGCCATCTGGCCCAGCACAGCCTAGGATTTATATAGGTATAAAAATAATCTATATAAATATGATATATACGTGACTTGGTGACTGTGTGTGTGTGATCAGCATCTGATCCACATTATGATCAAAGACGCATGTACGTGTGTATGTGTGTGCGTGTGTGTATGTATATGGGTAAGTGTTTTGTGTTGGATCGATTAGATATGGATTTACAATATATGTATATTCAAATGTGCCCGTAAAACCAGTCCAATCACTATGCTAGTCATATTCCTGCTTTATGGACAAGGTCTTCTCGGTACTTTTCTCAGACGTCGGATAGGAGGTCGAAGCCCCTGTCGTGGACTTGCCTTTGATGTAACTGGCCACTGTGGAGCTTAGCGGTATGGTAACATACTGATTGCCATCTGGAATATCCGAAATGTATATATATATATATATATTCAAAATGAGTTATTTATTGGAGATTCAAATATATAATTAAGACCTTCTTCGGCATGAATCTGCAATTGGCCCGATTGTATCAGATGGCGCAGCATGTCCGGCGGTATATTGGCGAACGAGGTGGCCGGATAAACATAATTTCTATCTGGTGCTGCTGCTGTCGCTGGCGATGCTGTTGATACTACCGATGCTGCTGTTGCTGCTGCTGTGGAGGTCGATGCTCCCGTCTCAGTTTGATATATTAATGAGGCCGGCATTGACTTTGGGCCACCTACGGACGCTGCAGCCTCTGGCTTAAGCTCATTTGCTGCTGTCTTGGAAACAGCGTCGGCGTCGCCTGACAACGGTGTTTCCACATCCGAGGAGTCATCCGATTCGTTGCCCGATGATGTTGGCGAACGGTCATCCTGCCAGACCAGAAAATACCAAGAGAGAGAGAGAGAGAGAGAGTGAGAGAGAGAGTGAGAAAGGGAGAGGGAGAGAGTAACGAGATTAGATAGTTGCTGCAGCCAAACAGTCTGGCCTGATCTGATCTTAAACCAAAGATGAGCTGCATGCTAGGCTGGCCCGGACGGGCACGTTCCATATGCCGGCCAAGCAGCGATTGTGTCTGGCACAGAAAAGAAAATGAAACAAGTAAGAAAGCTCTAGTCGAGACTGCTCGACTACGAGATCCCCTGAACCCT